CGTCCACTCTTATCTCTCTTAGGCCGTCTCTTATCTGTTGGTACTCTCACGCTTAAAACCCTAGCTCCTCATATCAAATATATAGGATGCTATAGGTTTAATGAATAATATTTAATTTCGAAATTAACTCTAAATTAATTCCGAAATTAATACAATATCAAATATTGCCTAATCAGATAAGAGAACAATTAAATAAATATGGTTTAAATTAAATCCGTCTCACAGATTTAATTCACTTATTTATTTAATAAAGAGATGACGGAATTAATTTATATATATTTAATTTATCCTTATAAATTAAATCTAACAATTAATATCTCTTATATTTATATAATATATATATATACTAATTTATATATATATATACATGTCCACCCTATATTATTCATTGAATCTGGACATATCTTAGATTCAATGAATCTGGACATCATAACTCGTGTTGGGCTATTTTGTGTGCGACCCTGTAGGCCCATATGAAGTTGGCAGTGGGCTATTAACTATAATGACTCACAAGTCGTAAGCGGTCTCTAGCAAGACATCACGACTACCCAAATCATATGAGGATCGTTGAACGATGTAACCTTTCATACAACCATATCACGTGCCTTTTGTCACACGACATTTTGGTCATGGATGAGGCATGGAGAACGTCATCCTCCTATTCATGACCGTTACTTTCTCGATCCCTGAGTAGTCTGAGTATAGAAATGGAACTACCTTTCCATTATAGTATGGCCATACATTTCTCAGACTCACTCATCGAGGGGCCCAGTAATGTCTCTCTACGAATGTGAGGGACAAATTCCATCTTAACCATTCACATTCCTCCGCATGAAAAACCACTAAGCCTGAACATAGTCTTTATGATCACTCGGTCAAAAGTGACTTTTGACTAGGTCAAAGCTAAGCGTTTCTCATGTAGGAATCCATGATGATCTCAGGTCAAAGGGCACAGTGACATGGTTTGTATATGAGAGAAGCTTATGACTTAACCCATGCAGCTCTCTCATAGCGGGTCGGTCCAACACCTTGTACTCTTACATGTGCCTATGACTTTAATTTATATCTCTATATATCTTTAAAGTCATACTGGTTTTATTTCATCTTTGCTCCCACATAGATGACCGACCAGGGACATTTAGGATAAACCATGAGTTATCCAAGGATAGTCATCACAGTAAACATGCAAATAATATGATAACGTAATTAATAAATTCATAAATGAACAATGTTCAAAACATAATGATGGGCCCCTAGGGCATAATTTCCAACATAAGCATCCCGAACGTCGGAATCCCCGAGCCACCAACGATTCGAATACCGTAGGTAACACCTCTTACTACTTGACTTAAACACAATCGGTAGATCCGAGCAAGGGATTGAAAATTTTAAAGTTTTATTTTCCGCTACGTGTCTTTCAATTCCTTACACATATTGCAGCATCTAGAGGTAATCATCTTTCATTCAAGGCTTTTACATTTTATTCTATGTTATAATAGTTGACTATGCTCGAAGTGTTTTTAAATGATTCAACAATTTATTTAAAAATAAAAGACAGCTTTATGAGTAAAAGACGAAATTGAGCAGATAGTTTAAATTGGAAATGACAATTCTACTTTATGATTAACTAGTCATAAATTATTTTTATATCTAATTTGAAATATTTGTTTGAAATTCAGTTTTTAATATTTCCGCTTTTCATTTGATAAATTTGGAAAAAAAAAAACAATTTTGAAGGATTATTTAGGATGTACCTCATCAAAGTAAGATGGATAAAACTCGGACACCCGCACATGATAAAATCACATTATGGACTCCATTAAGCTTACACAACAAATAACACCATGAAAAGCAGAAGAGAGTGGCGAGGAGAGAGAAGTTCACCATTCTGAGGAGTCATCAATTGTGTCGTAAAGACGTAACTCCCTCGTTCTCTATATATTTCATAAATAACTTCTCGGTGGTTACCAGAACATATCAAACAATATTTTCATTTGTGTTTAATTAGAAATAACCCAACCCATTTACATAAATGTGCTTGGACCCTAATCTACTAAGAGTTCTCGAGGTTCCCACAAATTTACACTTTGAAAAATTAAGAGAAATTAGGCCTAGTAGGAGTTAGATTTTCACAACATGGCAAACTAATGTTTGATTTTTTGTTAGGAAAAATATCTATATTTAGTACCTAACAATACATCAAATAGGATTGTCTCCTGTAAAAAGATATATATGCATAGAAAAAAACGTTTATACTCTGAATTGTTTATAATACACGTGGCTGCGTTGCCTCTGACATATCGATGGTTCTCAGCTACGATTAGCAAGCATAATGTCTGAATTATTTTTAGTCATCCATAGACGATTGCGTCTACTGCCTAAACATAATGTTGTGAGTGGCCAAGTGTCAGTTATAATTTTGTTTTCTGAAGCCTCTTGTGCTTTAATTTGCTCATTTCTTAATGCTTTATTAGACTCCAGTAACGCAAAAATATATCCATTTCCTATTTTAGTCAGGACAGCCTAATAATGGATTTGAGATATATTAATAATTATAGCCGTCCATTTCGTTTGCCAAGGCTTATTTATTTATCCCCATATTCTCTCACAAACAAAATACAAATTTTTTATTATTATTATTACTGCTTAATAAAAAGAAAAAATTCATGTTAAAGATCAATTTATTATTATTTATCTTTTTAATTTCTTTTGTTAGTGCAACATTTGCATATTATTTCTTTCGCATGCACTGCAACCACGGCCCTCACAAAATATCATGGTCGGAAACAACATGAACGATTGACTTATGCTAAATAAAGAAAATAACTTAGCTAGTCTTTGTTCATTACTTAATATGGTATGCCTAACTTCCCAAGCCATACACACACACACACACATTTGTATAACGCCTAGACACTGACAACATCATGTTTAACAGCCACATGAATGATTGTTTAATATTAATTGAATAAATTAAGGTGGTAGCCTTCGTTGAATACTTAATACTAATACATACAAGCATGTACATATATCTATGTGGCTGTCACTCCTTTTTCCATGTTATAATTCTGGTTATAATAAAAAGAAAAGAAGAACCGACATGTCAATAGTGAAATAATGTAATTGAATTTCATACAAATATTTGAAAGGGCTAATATAATTTTTCATCCTTTAAATTTGAGCCTGTTTTGGTTTTGGTCCTTCAAATTTCAAACCAGTGATTTTAGTATCAGAAATTTAGTCTATTTTAAAACATTGGTCTCTGAAGGTGTAACAGTATTAAAAGCTGCTAAAGTGTTATCAGTGACATTAAAAGTGGTGATGTTGACTTACTGGATAACACCTGATTGAATCTTGTATGGATAATAGAATATAGCATAGTGAACAGCTCTTTAAACGAACAACAAAGAAGAAAAACTAGGGGGCTAAACAGTTGTGTTTTGAGAATATGTTCTTCTTGCTGCTTCTTTTTTTTTCCCTTTTTCACTACTACAGAATTACAAATACTTGATGCTAAACACTTGACAATTATAATAAAAACTGTCAAATAAGGTGAGGAGGAATTTGCCAAACAAATATTGACGGTTTTAAAAGGAACCATCAATTATTGTTTGAGAATACTTGATGGTTCTAAAAGGAACCATCAAGTACGCAGAACAAAAATTTGACGGTTCCTTTAAAAACCGTCAAGTTTAGGAATACCTGACGGTTTTTCAATATAACCGTCAATTATTTGTTAAGTATACTTGACAGTTATATTGGAAAACCATCAAGAATTGTATTTTAAAACCCCTAATCTGTTTCATTTTGCTCGACCTCGTTCTAAAATTTTAGGCGCCTTTTTGTTTTGCATGCTCTGCCTAAACCTCCCAACCCTCTAATCTGCCATCCCCACATCATTTTTGATCTTTCCATGTTGTTTTTGTGGTTCCTCTTCCATCATCGTTGCTCTCTGTGGTCCTCCTCTATCATTGTCATGTCGTTATGCCGTGTGGTTGTCCTCTATCATCGTCGCGCTCTGTGGACATCCTCCATCATCGTCACAGCTTATTCTCCAGATTTTATAGCTTCAGGTTGGTCGTGTTCTTCTATAAAATCCCTAATTAGATTTTGTGGCTCTTCTACTTTGTTGCATTTTTCTTGGTACAACTCATGGTTCCTTCTGCCTTGTTGCAATTTTGGATTAGATAGTCTTGTTCACTGGAATCTTCTAAATGATTTTAGTTGAAACTAGATGATAGGATGAGCAATTATTTTTACTCTATTACTGTATCTTTGTTTGGCCGAATTCCCATGTCTTTACTTCTTGAGTTACATGTTTAGGAGGAGAATTCTCTTTTCTTTTTTTTTGCATACTTGGATCAGCTTTAGTTCCTTTCTTATTGGCATAGATGCTTTATTGAAAAAGCATACCTTCCATTGTCATCCTTTTTTCTTTTTCCAGTCCATAAAATGGCACAAGACGATAGAATTTGTGAGAAATTTCAGATTAGGAAAGACCATGTTCTATGCTCTTTTCAATTTATGTTTTTTTTCCATAGATTCTTTGCTTTTGTAATTGAAATTGATTTGAGGGCCCTATGTTTTATGCTTTTCCATATTATTGAATGTTAATTAATTCAAATGTTGTTATTGAAATTGCCTTACTACTGGTTTGCTGTTTAATACTTTATTTGAAGTCAAATAGAGGGCATAAAGCCCAGGAAATGCTTAATTGTAAGCCGTCATGTTGCCAAATTTTTTCCAAATGGAATAGCACATTAGTAGTAGTAGAATATTTTTTAAACTAAAGTCAAATTGAATTTTTTGTTGAATTACTAGTTGTTAACAGCTAGAATTACTAGCTGTTAACAAGTAGAACTAAAGAGGGATAAATGTCATCAATAGTACCTCATGCATTGACTTTCTATTTTTGTTTAATTCTCACAAAATCTTTGAGTCGCTAGTCACATTTTTCTCTAAATGATTCGTCTTAGTTGTGGACCATGGACAAGGAATGAATGTCTGCCAATTGTCTATCAAATGAATATTGGGATAGGCTAGAAGATTTTATTAAGTTTACAGTTGAGCATGCTGATGATTGCAGTAGGATTATTTGCCCTTGTCTTAAGTGTTGCCTTCTGAAGTGGGTTTCGCCATCTGTTTGTGAGAGCTACTTAATTATCAATGGAATTGATCAAAGTTATAAGTGTTGGACAAAGCACAGAGAGACAAGAGATGCGGGTAATAGTAGTCGAGGGCATAGTGAAAGCTGTGGATCATCTAATTTTGACACAAGTACATATAAAGCTGATCGTCTTAAGGATATGGCCAATACGATTGAACAAGAACTTAAGGATTGTCCAGAAATGTTTGAGAGGTTGAAGTGTAATGCTAAGACGCCTCTATATAAAGGTTGTACTGACTTTACAAAATTGTCTGTGGCTTTTAAAATGTATAATTTGAAGGTAAGAAATGGGTGGAGTGACACAAGCTTCACAGAACTACTTTCACTTGTTAAACAAATGCTACCAAAAGAAAACAAGCTTCCAAGCAAAACATGTGATGCAAAGCAAGTGTTGCGCTTTGTCAGCCTTAGCTATGAGAAGATACACGCTTGCCCCAACAATTGCATTTTGTTTAGGAAGGAATATAAGTCACTAAGTAAGTGTCCTAAGTGTAATACATTGCGCTACCAAGAGAATGGGAAGAGCCTAAAGAAAGCATTATGGTATTTTCACACTATGCCAAGATTTAGACACTTGTACAGTAATGTAGAAGATGTGAGAAATTTAAGGTGGTATGTGGATGAAAGGATTAAAGATGGCATGCTTCAGCATCTTGCTGATTCTCTAGAATGAAAGAAGTTTGATATTGAGTATTCTAAATTCAGGTAAGAAGATAAAAATCTACGCCTTGGACTAGCCACCGACCAGATAAACCCGTATGGGATGCAAACCAGCACCCACAGCACATGGCTAGTGATTTTGTTTATATATAACCTTTCTTGATGGCAAAGCATGAAGTGCAAGTATTCCACGATGTCTATGATAATCTCTAGGCTAAAGCAATCAGAAAATGATATAGATATATACCTAACTCCATTAATTGAGGACTTGAAACTATTGTGGGAGAGGAGGGTCGATGTATACTATGTGTATGAGGAAGAAACATTCAAGTTGAGAGCCATGTTGCTTGGCATAATTAATGACTTCCCTACATATGTCTCAGGGTATATCATTAAAGGCCAACTTGGTTGTCATATTTGTGAAGAGAGCGCAAATTTTATGAGGTTGAAGGATGGTATGAAAAATTCATATATGGGGCATCATAGATGGTTGCATCATGATCATCCTTATTGGCGATTTAAAAAAATATTTTTATGGGAATTCAAAACTAGGTAAGGCATCTACACTGTTGACTGGGAAGAATGTTTTTGAAAAGGTAAAAGATATAGATGGTAAATTTTTATGAGGCACATTGGGACAAGTGGGTGGAAGGAGAGGTCTATTTTCTTTATATTATCATATTAGATGACCTTGAATATGAGGCATTTTCTTAATGTTATGCATATTGAGAAAAACATATGTGAAACTTTGTTCGGTGCATTACTCCATATTCTAGGGAAGAATAAAGATGGCATAAATATGATGCTAGACATGGTTGAGAGGGGAATAAGAGAGGAATTGGCACCAGAGGATAAGGGAACTCATATTTCTTTGTCCGGTAGCTCACACGCTATCTGAAAAAGAGAAAATTAGCTTTTGTGAGTTTCTTACTATTGTGAAAGTGTCGAAAGGCTACTCTCTTCTAACATTAGTAACCTTGTTTTAATGAAGAATTTGAAGAGAAAAGGTTTAAAATCTCATAACTGTCATGTCTTAATAGAAAACTTTATTCTAGTGGTACTACGGTCTATTTTACCTAATAAGGTGCGAGTTACGATTATGAAGTTATGTTTCTTCTTTAAGTCTCTTTGCATTAAAGTGATCAATACCAATAAATTGCCAAGATTGCAAACCTGAATCATAGTTACGTTATGTGAACTTGAAATGTATTTTCCTCCAGCCTTTTTTAACATCATGCTCTACCTAATTGTTCACTTAGTTAGAGAGGTCTAACTATGTGGCCCAATGTATTTAAGATGGATGTACCCAATTGAGTATTACATGAAAACACTGAAAGGGTATGTGAAAAATCAAAGTCAGCCAGAGGGTTGTATCGTAGAATGATATATTTATGAAAAGGCTAATGAGTTTTGTACTCAGTACTTAAAAAATGCAAGTGATATTAGGATTCTAGTGTCTTGTCATTAGGGAAGGATGGATGGAGAAGGGATTATAGGAAGAAAAGTTGTAACTAATTCAAACCAACAGTGGGAGCAAGCACACCTGTATGTATTGAATAACTTTGAAGAGATTGAGGACCATGTAGACAAGCATATTGATGAGCTTAAGAGGGATAATCCCAATAAACTGGAAAGTTGGTGTGCCAGAACACACAATAAACAATTTGCAGCATGGTTGAAAGAGCACACTTATGATAAGTATAATGTTGATCTTAATTTAATTTCTAAGATATTAAAGTTGTTGGCAGATGGACTGAGCAAACATTTGATTCCTTTCACAAGCTGCCTCATCAATGGGTTCACTTTTTATACTAAAGAGCAGGATGATCAGAGTAAACAGCAAAATAGTGGCGTAACTCTTGTAGCTAATACCATGCATATATCGACTGTCAAAGATAAAAATCCTATCTATGCAAGTATGTCATACTTTAGGGTGATTAAGGATATTTGGGAGTTAGATTACATTGAAAGCAGAGTTCCAGCATTTAGCTGCAAGTGGGTGGACAATAATAATACATTGAGGATTGATGACTTAGGGTTCATACAATTGAATTTGAATAAGAAAAGATACAAAGAAGAGCTTTGATTTTGGCTTCTTAGGCTAGAAAAGTTCTCTATGTCCTAGATCTAGCTACTAAAGAATGGTCTATTGTTTTATTGACCAATAAAATGAATAAGGAGACTGGGTATGGAGACAATATAGTTGAAGATGATACATTTCAAGGGACATCACTTGAATCTCTTTTAAATGAAGATAAATTCATGTACATCAGGCATGATCATAATGATGGAGTATGGATTTCAAAGAGAGAAAAGTGCTTATCAAGAAGATGAAAACAATTCAAACCAAAAAGAATATAAAAAAGGCTAAGACTAGAAAAAGGATAATTTTGTTTGAGTTGGTTTTGTCACTGACGACTTTATTTTCATTTAATGAGTTCTGATTCATTTTATCTGATTTAATTTCATTACAGATGGCAAATGATCATGGATCTAGTACTGACAATCCATCTCAGCCCAAGGATGCCTCCGACCAGAAGAGACAGCTATAGGAAGAGGCAGCACGCATAAAGGGGGCCTTTGTGTCATGCAAGAGGTGGTGACAGTAAGAACGAAAGGAAAGAAATTTGACGTCACATCCCAATTTTTAGGCCTAAAAGTCCAAGAAGTAGCCTAAAGAAGGTAGGCTACCAAGGCCCCTTTAAGCAAAAGTCTCAAAGATGCAAAAGGAAGTTAGAATAAGAAAAGGAACTAAACAGCAAAGTGAGAAAGTTTCCAAGGGTAAAATTGTAAATAAAGTCAGGGGCTCCAGGAGAGTCTCAAGGGCTCAGAAAGGAAAAATAGGTTAAGTGTAGGCCTAAGGTTGAGGTGCAGGCCTCAAAGTGATGATTCATGAGGCTGAGCTCAAGCAGGGGTAAAACTGTAATTTTAGAAAGTTACAGGCCAATAGGGTTAATTATGGAAAGTATACAAAATTTTTTTAAAAAAAAAAATCTCAAAAAATGGGAAATGAAGCATAGAGACCTTTTAATGAAGATAAACGATGAAAATAGCCCTACAATAGCTTTAATGGAATTTTTAGCAATTATGGAGAACTAACTAATTAAGAAAAATTAGTCAAAAATTAATTATTAAAAATATTTTAAAGCCTCAAAAAATTGAGAAAAAATAGGGATAATGCACCTTGGGAATTATATGACATTGTGTTAGAAATTATGCCCTAGGGGCCAATCATTGTGTTATGAACATTGTTGATTTATGAATTTCTTAATTATGTTATCATATTATTTGTATATTTACTATGATGACTATCCTTGGATAACTCATGATTTTATCCTAAATGTCCCTGGTCGGTCATCTATGTGGGAGTAGAGATGAAATAAGACCAATATGACTTTGAAGATGTATAGAGATATAAATCAAAGTCATAGGCACATGTAAGAGTACAAGGTGTTGGACCGACCCGCTATGAGAGAGCTGCATGGGTTAAGTCATAAGCTTTTCTCATATACAAACCATGTCACTATGTCCTTTGACCTGAGATCATCATGGATTCCTACATGAGAAATGCTCAGCTTTGACCTAGTCAAAAGTCACTTTTGACCGAGTGATCATAAAGACTATGTTCAGGCTTAGTGGTTTTTCATATGGAAGAATGTGAATGGTCAAGATGGAATTTGTCCCTCACATTTGTAGAGAGATATTACTGGGCCCCTCGATGAGTGAGTCTGAGAAATGTATGGCCATACTATAATGGAAAGGTAGTTCCATTTCTATATTCAGACTACTCAGGGATCGAGAAAGTAACGGTCAGGAATAGGAGGATGACGTTCTCCATGCCTCATCTATGACCAAAATGTCGTGTGACAAAAGGGACGTGATATGGTTGTATGAAAGGTTACATCGTTCATCGATTCTCATATGATTTGGGTAGTCGTGATGTCTTGCTAGAGACCGCTTACGACTTGTGAGTCATTATAATAAATGGCCCACTGCCAACTTCATATAGGCCTACAGGGTCGCACACAAAATAGCCAAACACGAGCTATGATGTCCAGATTCATTGAATCTAAGATATGTCTAGATTCAATGAATAATCTAGGGTGGACGTGTATATATATATATATATATATATATAAATTCGCCTATATATATATTATATGATATAAGAGATATTTATAAGATTTGATTTATAAAGATAAATTAAATCTCTATCACTTTTAAATTTAAAATTTAGATTGATATGATATCTTAGATTTGATTTATTAGGATAAATTAAATCTATATCAGTTCTAGATTGATATGGTATAATATAATATCTCAAATTTGATTTATTAGAATAAATCAAATATAATTCTGTCATATCTTTATTTTGAATTAAATGAATAGGTGAATTAAATCTGTGGGACGGATTTAATATAAATCGTATTTATTTAATTAATTTCTTATCAGATTACGCAATATATGATATTGTATTAATTTTGGAATTAATTTAGGATTAATTCTAAAATCCAATATCCTTCATAATACCGATAGCATCCTATATATTTGATATTTAGGAGCTAAGGTTTTAGGTGTGTGAGACTGCAAAAGGTTTGCAGATAAGAAACGACCAAAATAGAAACGATGAGAACGGATTCTCGGAAAAGCCCTAGAAGGACAAGAGGCGCTAGCACGTCGTTCGTGATTGGAACGCTATTCATGTGGATACCAGTAGAGGAAGCCGATCTAAGTTGTCGACTTCTCACGAACAAAAGGAGAGCATAGGCATCCCAAACGTCGGAATGCCCGAGCCACCAACGATTCGAATACTGTAGGTAACACCTCTTACTACTTGATTTAAACACAATCGGTAGATCCAGGCAAGGGATTGGAAAATTTTTAAAGTTATTTTCCGCTACGTGTCTTTCAATTCCTTACACATTGTACAAGTAGTTTTATCCCCAAAATACCCCTTGAAAAATTATAAAGGAGTTTAAGGTCTAATTAAGCTAATTAGGGTTTTTATTTGAA